TGTATTTGTATGCCAGATAATTTAATGAATCAACCTCCTGCTGGACACGCCTAGCTGCTTTCTTAAAATGTCGCACAGATGTAGTCTACAAACAGAAAATAATACGATTAAGTACAATACTTTCAAATATACCATACAGACAGCCCATATTACAAGCACCAGGAACAACATTACACTTTACATTAAAAGATAATAAACTTTTGCTTTAAAGCTACCTGTATATCTGTGGGACCATCCGCTGGAGCAATCGTGTCCATGGCAGCCAGAATTGAAGGTGAGAACCTAACGGGATTCAGGGGGATGAAACACTCCTTCAAGGCCACTGAAGTGTCATCAGCCTATTGAAGAAAATTCACCACATATTATCATCTAATCAAAATTCTTTGAAAAAGATCAATCAAAAACATTCACAAACCTTAGAAACAACCACTCGTTTCTTGGGGGAATTTGAAGTCTTTTCAAATTCCCCTGAATGGTTTCTCTGCAATGGTAAATAAAACACATTTAGAAGCATTACTGGCCCAGTTGCCTAAAATTATAAACATTTTACAATATTTATACTTTATAAAGTCTCTCACCTTCCCGCTAGGTCTCACAAACGTCCATTCGGAAGGGCGTGGAGGTGGAATGCGTTCCACACCCTTCACAACCACACGGGGCACAATACTCGCTTTCTGCGGACGAGACACCTGGTGCTGCACCAGTGGCTTTGGTGCGTGTGTCTCCAAGAACTGATAGGAGGCATTCCACATCAGTTGCGTGAGTATAGGCATCCCGTGATTATCACTGAGGTGGATCTGCAACCACAAACACGAACAAAAGAATACAAATTTATCATCTCAAACTTAAGAACCTTTACCTTGTTTTCTTCCAAGCAATATACTTACACCATCACGGCACCACAGTTTAAGACGATACCTGGGTAGGTGATCGTGGATCGGCACATAACTTACACCTTCGAAGCAGAAGGAAAAAATTCATGTAAACTTATAAATTGTGATTGTTTGATACCTAAGAGTAAATAGCAATAACGCTTGTCGTTAATACTACCTTTTCATCTAATTATGTTGCAACTTACCTAGCTTAGCCGATCTGCGGTGGTACTCCTGCTGAAACAGGTCTTGACGCTCCCAGGATCCAACTAAACGGGGAATCATGGAGGTACAGAAAACCTAAAAAAAAAAAAGAAGAAGAAAGAATACAATTATTTTTAAGGATGTACGTTTACTGTCATCTCTCATACCTTCAAAATTACACAAATCAGCCTCTCACCTTAGGCCAGCGACTGAGAACAGCCAAAAGGTACCGCTCAAATGCATCCCCTGCCTCTTCAACTGTTCTGCTGGCCGTAAGGTTGTTAGAAGGAGCCATGACGCAAACAGCATCAGGCTCCCGAGGTAACACAGCCTGTGAAACCTCAAGGCGCAGAAGATCTGCACAAGCTCCTGGAGTGGACATCACACCAAAAGTGAGGCCGCCAACCGGCATAGGGACTATGCCGTCTGCCACGGACCTCAAGTGGGAGTCCCCAACAAGTAGGATGAACTAAATTAGAAAAATTAATAAATACATTTCAATATAAAACAATCTGTATTTCTATGACATTTCATACAAACGGCAATGCAATATGCTTTTCAGGAAGAAAGAGATCACATTAAACAGTCAAAGTTTACAAACAATAAAACATGAAATGGTAAAACTAATCACAGAATACACCAACATAAATACAAATAAAGATATGTAAAAATAACTGAGCAGCTTAAGTTCTAAATCACAGATTGAGAAGCACCGACTAAAAAGGAAGATGAACACAACTAGGTTTTCTGGTTAAGATTCAAAAGTTGGTAGACTTTAGGCACATGTCAAAAAGAAGCCGATACAGTCTGTTTGCAGCACTGTAACTGATAGCGGCTTCAACACCATCTGACCGTTTCCTTAGAATCCCAGAGTACTGCTAGATAGTATTGGAAGAAAATCTATATTTATATTTTAAATATTTGTGGACATTACACTCACTTTCTTGTCAGGAATCTCATCTGGAAGGACCAACTTGTGAGCTTTGTTAGAAATCACACTGGTCGGCCAACGACGAACTCGATGACGAAAGCCAGTTCCAGAAACTTACAAAACAAAAACACACACACAAAAATTAACAATCTTTTTGGCTAATAATTTTTCATCTTACATAAATACAGTATAGATTAAATCGATTGCAAAACACTACAATAATTTGTTCTGCGAAATAATACTGCAATACATACAATTAACATCATCATTGATGTGCGTTGGAATCCGGATACGAATAGGCGGAGCTGGACGATTGCTGCGCTTAGCAGCATCCGCCTTGCGTTTGGACTCTTTGCCAGGCATAGTGAATGCTGTTTGAAACATAAAATACATGACAGCACTATTAGAAAAGCAACACAAACACTATGGATTTCTATGTTATCATGTGTCTGTACTCGGTAAAGACAGAATTAGACTCACTCACTCACACCTTTTAGAATCTTATACAACCATCAATTTGCTAAACTTATATAATTGTAAAAACAATCCTAAATTTTAAAGAGCAAGTCACCCATGACCAGATTCTTACTCAACTCCCACTTCCTGTTTGAAAAATGCAACAAATGCTGTTGTCTAGCAGACCGAGAGGGTAGAGCCACAAACAAATACACACACTCACAACATTGTGACATAATAATGTAACATCTAACATCACTGTGTACCTCTTAGTCAATAGCTATGACAGATTTAAATTCAAATGTAGTGCAGAGTTTTTATCTGACAACGGCACAACACTGACAGTTTTAGGCAGAAAATTAAAATCTTAACTAAAATGCACTAAAGTGCAAAACTATTGACTATGCATTTCTGTAGCACGATTAGACACACATTTATATAGTTTATCAGAAAAAAAAGTTGATTTGGGGGCGACTTGCTCTTTAAATGAGTTAATCACAGTATAATCTAATTTAAAGGATAAAAATTAATAACTTGTGTGTGACATCTATGACAAAATACATTAACATAATTATTACTACTTTACTGATAACCCCTGAACAAGGAATCATAATATAAAAATGAAAATGTCTAATCAAACCCCAAGAATGTAGTTTTAAATCATGCTAAATTTCAAACTATTGTTTAAAAATATCAAAAGTTATTAAATGTCAAGTTTTATTAGAACTTACTTGCACTTATGAAAGTGCACATACACCTGCTGTATTCTATATATAATGCTTAGACTAATTCAAATAGTCAGCAATACATATACTAAAAAACATTTATTTATAACTGCATTGTATGAAATATTCAGTCACAACATATTCTTTAATTTAGTCTTAAACAATGCAACTTTAATAGTTTAAACACCCCATTGTTATCAGTCAAACTTTTGAATAGTCTTATGGTATTTACATTATTTTACTTAATCTCAGTTTAGCTTTAAGTACTGTAACTTTTAATAACGTTTTACTTATTTCTACATTAAACTTTGCATGACTAAAAATAAACTCACAATATTACATTATTTTTATCATTATTTTTTCCCCGTGTCCTGTCTGGCTGTGAAGCAAACAGAATTGATGTCTGAATGTTGGTGAAAAGCCTTACAGATTTACTCTCAAGTGGAGCATCAAAGCTAATGTCACGTCTGATACTTTAAACTTTATTGTTTTTGAATACTTTGTAATTCCAACCAGACACGGAATCAGAGGCGAAAGATAAAGACAAAGACAAAAGGTGGGGGCAGAAAGGGGGGGGGGGGGGGGGTCCACAAAAATAAACAATAATGAACAAGAGTCTGCTTCTAGGCCTGCAGAAAGAGAAAGAAGAGAAAAAAATGGGACACACAACACAACAGGAGCAAGCTATGACTGTGTCAACTTGAAGAAATACAATCACACAATAATAATAAATCATAGTGCATTTAGTGGCAACGACAGCCTTAAGACATGTGTTGAACGTGCCCAAGTCCATACTTATATGAGCACCTGTGTGTGTGTACACACGCTTGTTTATGTAAGGTTTCTCTATAGGAGCGTCCAATAGATAGTGTGAGGGGCCACAGACCTGCCCCCAAAGATGTGTAGGAGACTAAGAGAGCTCCAAGTCCCAGAGATCCAGCCGCTGCCCCAGAACACAAAAACCCCAAGGAGACTGCAACCAGAAAGGCCCCCGCCCCCTTGAGAGGTGCAGAGGATCGCCCTGGGGGGACCACAACCAGCAGCTGGCAGAGACCCGGGAGATATCAGCGGCAAGCCCACCTGCAGCCTCCCACCCCCCGCCTGGGACCCAGCAGAGCCCAGGGACCCAGACCCCACCAGGCAGCCACCGGGATTGATCAGACAGATGCCAAAAATCTTAAACCCCCTGACCCGGGAGCCACGAACATTCAGGCAGACCAAGGTACCGCACTCCACACCAGGTGTGGCAGGGAGAGGGGAGACGAAGATCTACATCATCAAAACAAGTCCCAGGAGAAGGGAGGAGTCAAAGGCCCCACCTGACATATACAGTCATACACAAACACAGTAATACACTCCCTCTCATGCTCACACATACACATGAAACCAAAGACTTCTAAAAATGCACGCCAGACACCCACTTATGCTCCCTATACACACCCTAGTCCCGGTACTGCTGCACATTGGGTACAACCATTACTAGAGTTTGACCCTTTCTGCTGGGGTGCTGATGAACAGACTCCCCGCCCAACGCTGAGCCCAGCAACCCACCACCCCAGACCCCAACCAGACAGCCAGATCTCCCTCTTAGCCTCCAGCCCCAGGAAGCCAAGCAACAACAGAGGTGTGCTAAGACCCCTAGTCTCCCTCCGCCTGCTCCAATATAGTTAGTGTTCGTTGATGAGGTGTATTCCATGGCTGTGGTGAGCGGGCAGTGCGGGCATTGTCTGCCCATGCCAGTTGATGCCACCACACCACCCCACTTGCACCCACAGCCCTCGGTGTCTAAGTGCACTTTAAAATTGTAAGTGGCCACCGGCACCCTGGAGGAGGCTGAGATATCCCCCTGCCAAATGCCGCTGAATGTGCTCACTCCCAAGGCCCTAAGTGTGTGTTTGTGTGGAATGTCGTCAGTGGAAGTGTATAAGGTGCAAATAAATTGGGGGGCAGGTTGTCACAGGAATGCGGAAATGGGTCCATACCCGCACTCCCTGATATGCCCACCCCCCAAGGTCCTATGTGTATGTTTGTGTGATGATGTGAGGGAGCAGGAGGAGAGAAATATGCGGGGATGGGGAGGAATGGCTGGTTGGGCTTAGCCCTCCAGGGAGCCAAAAATAAACTTTTGACAATATTACATTCAAATGTGAAAAACTACAAGTTTCTGTTAGAAACATAAAACAGAAGTGACTCAAATATGCACGTTACTTCCACATTTTATCAGCAAAAAAAAGTTGATTTGGGGGTGACTTGCTCTTTAAGGGCAATTCTCATCTGTTTTGTTTAATCTCATCTGTAGACATTTATTATAATTGAGGATGTCAAACAACTAATTTTTAAATGTAATTAAACATAGGCTGTGAATTAATCAAAATTAATCACCATTTCCACAAATGACTGAAAAAATACCAAATAAACCAAAAGTAAATGAATGCCATCCTCCTTGTGATGATGCCCTGGGCAACTGCCATAAGTCACATCAAAAAATGCTGCTGATCATTCCAATGATCCCAAATAGACTCACATTAGACCACATGAAAGCAACTGAACCCAAAAATATATTAACCAGTAGGGCTGCTCAATTAATCGAATTTTAATCACGATTACAATCTGAGTTTTGAACGATTATAAAAAAACAAAACAAGCCGATTATTTGCTCCTCCCGCTTGCGCTGCCCTGAGTTGCAAATGAAGCGTTCCTCCACAGTGTTGCCAACTTAGCGACTTTGACGCTATTTCTAGCAGCTTTTCAGACCCCCTTCTTGACTTTTCAAACTTAAAAGTACCTAGCAAACACCTCAGAAACATCTCTGGGAACCCTTAGCTATTTTCTGGATAACTGTCGTCAACATTTCCTGCAGGTTAGCTTAACAGCTCTCGGAGCTGGCTCCCTGTTGGATTAACCAGAGTGAGTGACACACACACCGCACCTGCGGACTCCTGAGCCACTAAAAATGACTAAATGTGCGTGTGCGGCGCGCTAAACACACGTGCAGCTTGCCCCGATTGCTGTGAGACCGGGTTGGGGGTGTAGCTGTGGTTGGGACAATTATTACATTAACTGATGGACCTGTAAATAAATAGTTTATAAATAAGGTAGAAATAAGTTCCTCACGCTGATAACTAATAACTAATCTCTCCGAGGACACGGTGCTTGTGCACTCTCCTACAGCACCTTGACACGACTCAATGTTATGCAACATTTTGTGAACATCAATTTCTTTGCATTTATTTGTTATAAATGTCACTGTATAATTCTTGCTGTCAGTATTTGCAAGGTATTGGTATTTGGGTCTGTACTGGTTAGACTTACATGAGTTAAACCAAGGTCTATAGCCCTTGGGTCATAGACTGTGAGCTATAAGTATATTGGTCTTTTTATACTGGGAATCAGGAGTTATTTTAGTGATCATCTAGTTTATTATTTTTGTCCTGATTGTGCCCTGAGCAATTTTATGACTTAATAAAAACAAATAAAATCAACATAAATTGAAAAATCGTCCTAAATAATCGTGATCTCAATTTCAGTCACCATAATCGTGATTATTATTTTTGCCATAATCGAGCAGCCCTATTAACCAGTAAATAACTGCACTCTCACACAACACGCCTGTGTCACTCACTCAACCTCCTCTAGGGAGGCACCGCAGAGCCGCTCAGACTCCATTACCCAACATCCCCAGCGCCAAGCTTCCGGTTCACGTCACCCGCCAAATCTATTTAAGGAAGTGCCGCACAACACCGACTCACGTCGGCATCAACCATCAAGCATTAACCAACCAGGTGCGAGGTCCGCACGGCTCCGCGCGGAAAAGTTGCGTCATTTTAACAACCACGCCCCTCCACCGCGCCTCCGCACGGCCCAGAATTTCCGCAACGCACACCTCGGAAAATTTCTAACCACGCGGAAAAACATGGCGGACCAGCAAGAACTACTATGGCAGAGGTTCGTAAATAGACATTTGTATGATTCAGCTCTCAGAGGTCACCGTGATCAACATGTTGTTAATAGTTCTTGGAGAGAAATAGCTCGCACTGTCGGAAAAGACGAGAACGCTGTTAAAAATGCTGAAATGCCATGTTGTAAACAGTAAGTTCTACTTCTACTATGGTGTAGTGTTGAATGCATGCTGTAGAGCTCCATGCTGCCCCGTTCAGTTTGGGAGAATATTGGCTCACCGCAGAGACAAGCCGCACAAACCATAAACACTGCGAGTTGTGAAGCGCGTTCCATCCGCGAGCCGCATCACCGCGCGGAAAGTGAATGCGTCAAGCATAAAACCAAAGTCATTGTTCGAACCGAACCTAACCCAGAGTCCAAACCAGATTGTCTCAGATCACGAAGCCTGTTCAGATCAGACCAGCCAGATCTAAGAATCCTGCCTGTTCTTAGAGACCAGCCTCAGACCAGGACTCGCCGTGTTCAGCTGTGTCACCAGGTCACCATACAGCTGCGCACTCGGCTCCCAGAACAGCGTGTCCATTCAACCCGGCGTCAGTCACTCCGCGCTTGGGTTAAAAGCCACGCCACATCCAAACTGTCGCCCAGCTCGAGTCACCCCGTTACAGCCTGCAGCAACAGTTAGGACTCCTCCCTCCCTTTTTAAAGCGTTTTCGCTTCCTAGGACATTGTGGTTGTAAAACCCCAATGTCTGAGACTCGAGTCTGGTCCCGGTGTGATCAACCAGTTTCTGCGGGAATGTAACGGCGGAACCGGTTCGCAGCAGCGCGAGTCCACCGCCCCTTCGTGTCTTACCGTTAAATGTTACATCACGTGCCACATGGACACTCACTCACGCTGCAGATTCAACAAAACTACTTTACTCTTTTCCAAATTATATCACAAGAATAATGAAGCTGCTTGCGTAAAAATCGACACAGCAAATATGCAAGTATTACTTACCATAATAAGAAGTGAACACGCCAGCTGAATACAGCTAATATTGCTTAAAACAAACAAACAAACAAACAAACGACAGATAACAATAAGCACAAATGAAATATTCTCCAAAATGCTGCTTTACAACGCTAAAAAGAAGGCAAAACCCCAAGCAAGCCTAAGTAGTGCGCACTGAAACGAGTCTTGTTCAAAGACGTGAGTGGCGGTTGGATTGAAAAATATATAGCCGAATTTGAGCCAATCAGCGGGATAGAATACATCACGTGGAAAAATATCTCCCAATAAGGTTGAAGTCTTTAGAAAACACAATGCGCTAATCCTCCAATCAGTAAGGAAAATCGGAAAATTCAAAATAAACCAATAAGTTTCTTTAACGACACAGCAACGTCACGTTCGTCTCTGATTCCCGTGTTTTACAGAGGCCGCCCCCTCACGTCCAGACAGTCCAGGAGAAGAAGCCGGTATAAGGTTAGTCAATCGATGTTAAAGCTAAAGCTAGCAAAAACTAGCTACTTGCTAGCTGACTAATGTTTGTTGAAATTATCACGATTTGCAGTAAACGATGTCCGGAGAATTGTTCGAGGATGCATAGCTGTTAGCTCAGACTAGCTGTTAGCTCAGACTAGCTTTTGGCTCAGACTAACTGTTAACTCAGACTAGCACTTAGCCCAGACTAGCGTTTGGCTCAGACTAAGACTAGCTTTTGGCTCAGACTAGCGGTTTGCTCAGACTAGCGTTTGGCTCAGACTAAGACTACTTTTTGTTTCAAACTAGCGGTTAGCTCAGACTAGCTTTAGCTCTAACTTGGCAAAAGATGGCTACCACAGATAAGTTTCATCAGCAAACACAAAAATGGCACCAACTCTGTTGGTTTTACATATTCATCTGAAATCTGTTCATTTTTTAGGTCAGTCATTCATATCGAATTACACCAGATCTTATGATTTTGCATGATCCATTATTTTGTAAATCTGATTTCAAGTTCCATGAAAAACAGTGATGTGATGTGATGAAGGGGCTTGACTGTGACCAATAACGAGACAGTTGTAGCTGAGCAATACGGGCCGTGTGATCAAGCCAAAGCTTTGGTCAAATCTAAAGGCAATAAGGAAAAGCATGAAAGTCAGCTGACTAGGTGAAAGATGTTGCGAGGAATCAAAGCAACATGCTTCTAGAGACTTGTACAGGTATCAGGTGGTGTTCTGACTGTTTCTGGTTTATTTTCTGTTTTTAGAGCATTCCCAGGTCTGGTCACAGCCCATGCCTTTTTTCAAGGAATCAGGCTCGTGATGGGACACGGACCATACGCCAAACTGGTCGTAGTCTTCCTCTTTACCTCACTGGGTTTCATGGTGAGTGTGGAATAAATCCTCACGGAACAAAAATGATTTTTGTGCGTGCGTGTGCAGTTTGACTGAGCAAGCCTATTTTTTACCCTGCAACTTCTGGAAGGAAACTTTGCTCTGTTCTGCAGCTCCACACTGGGATTCAGAAATGACTTCCAGAATATTCTACTGGTCATCATGGTGAGCGCACACACACGGCATTCTCACAGCTAGAGCAGGTCCCGTTCTCCTAGCACGGGCTGATGAAACTCTGGCCTGTGCGTTAATCAGTGTTGGGAACGTTACTTTAAAAAAGTAATTAGTTATAGTTACTGATTACTTTGTCAAAAAAGTAACTCAGTTACAAGATCATAAAAGTAACTGATTACCAACAAAAATAACTACTTAGTTACTTTTTTCATTAAAGAATGCAAGAATTACTACAATAGTGAAATATAAATGACTGTTGACTGGAACATAATAAAATGTATGTCCAAATGTTTTTTATAAACCTGAATAATTTAAATAAATAAGCACTTAACAGGAGGACCTACTAACAGGAACATTACACTTATCTAGACTATTAAAAGGTCACTGTGTGATATTTAACAAGACCCTAATCAGCTGAAATTTAAAATTGCAAATAGAAACACCTGTAAAGGTTCCCGAACCTTTAAATGGTATCTCGGTCTAGTTAAATTACAGAAATAAATGTAATTTTGCACAGTATTCTAATTTTTCCAGCTTCACATAATTGTGTGTTTTTAGCAGCATTTCTGTTGCTGGTAATCTAGTATCGGTTAAATAAATTAATAAAATCCTTTAAAATGACACTAGAAGAGGCACAAGCCTGATGGAGGACTTAAATGTACTAACATGGGTCAGACCCAACCACAGAAGAGCTGAAGCTGGGTGGTGAACACACACAGGTTCTAATAACACCTGAGCTCCATGTCGTTTGAGACTGATGCATCAGTGTTACAGCGGGGCTAAAGACATGATCAGGAACAGGTTACAGCTGGATGATCTAGGAAGGCAAAAGATCAGGACGTCTGAGTGGTGAACAGGTGAGCGGACCTTCGGGACGTCCCGCTGTCACGCCAAGAAGGGCACGGCTGCAGACCCGCAGATTCACTGCTGCAGATTCCCACCTACAGCAGCAAATCTGCGGCGGGTCTGCAGCCGTAGATATTCATCACGTCTTCCTTGTTCTTCATGGGCCGTGATGCTCTTGGATGAAAACATCTACCTCTAGCAGCTCCTGATCAGCTGATGACAGCTTCTACAGACCGCGCTGCTTAACGCATGCATTTCCTTATCAGTAACAGAAACGACGTCTTGACGTGGGCCGCTGCTGTAAAAAGTGAGGCGCGAACCAGAAAAGCTTCTGCCGAACACAATTCAACAACGGATTATGAGAGAACGGATAACGCTCGAAACACGCAGATTCTTCCTGATGTGAGAGGTGAGTCTCCACTTTGTTTTGGTTGTTTTGGCGTCGACATCATCCTAGCGCGCCGACACCTCTCTCTCCCTGGCTGCAGCTTTTTGAGGTTCTCTCCAAGTTCAGTGAATCCAATTATGTGATCAGAACTCCTCTAATGAGAAAGAAAACCATGACTTGCCATGTGAATCGTTTGAAGCTATTTCATGAACGTGCTACCGCTGTGACTCAGCCTTGTTTAGTCTCTGCAGAGGTTTCTCCCCCACTGCCTGATACTGTGCAAGATGATGCTGTGGCGTGGAGTTTGCTGCCCCCTGTCACCCCACGTCTCTGCAACTCCGAAGCTCTCTCCAACCTGTCGTCCAGTTTGGGTCACCTCACCTCTTCGCAACAGGAGGAGCTTTCTCATCTAATTCACTCTTTTCCGGAACTATTTTCAGACGTGTCCAGTCAGACCCACCTAATAACTCATGACATCAGCCTTACTGATTCCGTCCCCGTTCATATGCACCCTTACAGGGCTAGTCCGATGAAGAGGGAACTAATGAGAAAGGAAGTAACTTCGCTATTAGAACATGGCCTAGACAAGCCCAGCACCAGTTCCTTGAGCTCACCATGTTTACTGGAAAATAAACCTGATGGCTCATATAGGTTTGTTACTGACTACCGCAAGTTAAATGCAAAAACCGTCCCAGATTCGTTTCCTTTGCCTCGTGTAGAGGATTGTGTGGATAGTGTGGGTTCAGCTACATTTGTTACTAAACTAGATCTTCTAAAAGCCTATTGGCAGGTGCCGCTAACTCCGTTTGCATCTAAAGTGTCTGCTTTCGTCACTCCAGATAACCTGCTCCAGTACATCGTGTTGCCGTTCGGTTTGAGGAACGCCCCCGCTACTTTTCAGCGTTTTCAGCAAGAACTACTTCTTCTGCCGCCAACCATGGTGTGTGATACGGCACAATATAAATACCTTAACCCTCCACTGGGGGGCGCACACTGGGCTCCCTGTTTATTCAATTCAATAATTTATTTCACTCAAAGTTTAAATATACAAACTTCAAATTAGAATATAAGCATTCGAGTGAAATAGGGGGAGGAAGAAGAAAAAATCTTATATGACCTACCCCCTTTAACTAAGACAAGATAAATAACAAAAAGTACAAAATAGCCTTATACACAAAAAATAAACCGCTCTCTTACTTCCACAAATAATATCACTACTAAAACATTAATCCTCCATCCTAAACTTACCAAATCATACGATTTTAGCCTTTTATCTTTATACATTTTTTTTAATTGACCAGTACTTGTACATTTTTTTAATTCATCATCCAGGTTATTCCATAATTTCACACCATATGTTAACATACACATTTGCTTTAATGTAGTACGAACAAATATCCTTTTAAACTCTGGTTTCTTTCTACTCTTATCATTTTTTGGGATCAAAACAAAGAACCTTTGTAGATTAGTTGGCAGTAAATTATTTCTAGCCTTAAACATAATTAGTAAAATTTTCAAGTTAACTAAGTCTTTAATTGATGCTTTTCCTGTTTGCTCAGCAGGAAGAATCACGCCCCTCCCAGAGACACCCTCTGTCGTGGCTGGATGATGATGCAGAGATGGTGGCTGCTTGTAAATCTGTGGAAGGTATGGGGCAGAACAAATCTAATTTGCACCTTCCAAGCTTAAACAGCGCACACTACAAATTTTTTGTGGTCTTTTTAGACTCCCTCATCTCAAAGCAACCAACAATAGGAGCTGCAGCGACCAGGACGTCGCCAAAGGCTCCTGCTCTACAGCGGCTGTTGGTTCTCCTGCTCCTGCTGATCCCTCTGCTTCTGAATCCCCTGCTGGTCCGATAGCTGCTTCTTCTGGCTCCACTACTCCTCCTGGTCCCTCTGCTGGCTTTTCTGCTGATGTCCTGGACAAGGTTTTAAGGAACAGGACGGACCTTGCGATGCCAGTCTCTCGGCCTGCTGCTACTCAGCCACAGCTTCAGCCCCAGGTGAAGCCTCAATTTCAACCTCAGTCTCTGCTACAGCCTAGAAAACAGACTCCTGTGAGTTGTGAAACAGTTGTAGCCTCTTCCACCTCTACGCTATCTGAAACCCCTTGGCACACAGTCAGGCCCATTGTGCCTAAGCGGTCTCTGTTCAGTCCAGCTCCAGCCCTGCGTCGCTCCAGCCTTCTGCCAGTCTGGTGTTTCCTGAGGCCACTGCTACCTCGTCTCCATCCCCATCATGGTCCAGGGACACGCTTTACAAGTGTAAACAGGAGCTTTCCTTCTTTGGGGAGGGAAATAAATCCAGGGTGCAAAACAACCCTGTGTGCATGATCTGTGGACAGGTGACTCAGGGACACAAAAAATACAAAAGGAAGAGCTTCTGTACTGTAAAAATGATGTCCACATCAAAGGGTCTCACAGGCATTTTATTTAAAAGTTTTGAGGAGTTTATGTTGGTTCAATGTCCGTTTTACCGCGGGTGTCAATACCAACACTCTGGCACAGCGCGTTACCTCCCGATGAGCAGGGGCTTGTCACCTGCTGTCTTTAGGAAGCGACTACTCGATGACAAACATGAAAAGTTACTACAGAGCAGTGAAATCGACTAGTTCATACAACCCCAAGTTTGTAGTGTTCGTATGTCCAATATTTTCATCAATCAGCAACTGAAGCGCTGCTACCTGCTGTTCTTTCAGTGGACTGTCAAATTCTGGAATCACAATCACAACGTCCGCAACTACTCCATATTCAGCTGCCACATCCCAGTCAATGTCCGACTCTTGAATATCCTGATAATTGGACCAAACAAATTTAAACACCACAATTATTATCATTCCCTTATTGCATCACAGTTATTAGCCAATATTGACTTGTTTAAACCTTATGTGGATTACCAAACTTTTCAAGCTATTTTACCAGCTGATCCATTTAAGCAAATGAACTTTAACATTAATTCCAAATACTTTAATTTGTTTCACATTTGATGCTGTTCACTTAGGACTCATTCCTTTTTATTTTGAATGAATTAAAAAGAAATGCACCTCAACTTACTCTGGCTGCTGGGTCGGGTGACACATCATTCCTGTGTACCATAGCTGCTCAGGAGTTTGGTTTCCTTCTGTTCTAAGAGGATAGTTGTTCCAGCCTTGAAGAAAAGCTTGTAGGTCTGCCTTCAATTTAAGAAGAAACGTCATGTGAACAGCAAAATGATCTTCTGTAAAAGAGTTAGAAATTGATTGCTGCGCCTTTGTCACACATGTTGCATGTACCTCCACACCTGCGATAAGGGATACTCTGAGTATGCCCTAGTGGTGAGACGTGTAATATAATGGTGGCCTCAGAGGGGATGCTGAGTCAGGGTGAGGTGCGGACGAGGTGACCGTTGGCGGTTTCTGGTGTCGAGGTGGTCAACGTTTCTGTTCCACAGACATGCCCTTGGCTACCGGCCAGGACGGAGCGGTGCGGAGCTGGGTTTGGAGAGAGTCGTGATGAAGCGGAGGGGATGCGGACGGAGGGCGAGCAGCTTCGCTGCGAGGGCCGAACGACGCTGCTTGCAGCTTTAATTAGGCCCGAGCAGTGAAGCTGCGAAGGCCTATTGTATCTGCTCCGTTTATTATTTTTTTTCTTTCTTTCTTTCTTTCTTTCTTTCTTTCTTTCTTTTTTTTTCTTCCGCGTCTTTGGATGGCCTTTAGGGGGTCTTAGCATATCCAAAAAGTCACCAAATTCTGGCCCAATATAGAAAGTGCGTGAAATTTACGTATTTCACTGGCCACGTGAAAGTTTGTAAAAAAATGTTTCAACAGCGCCCCCTGGAAAATTAAAAATACCCCTCCGCTTTGACCTTTTTTCATAGTAGAGTGATGAAATTTGGTACACTTGTAGAACTCAACAATACGCACAGAAAAGCCTCTTGCACCCATGGTCAATATCAAACAGGAAGTCGGCCATTTTGGACTAAAATGGCCATTTTGACCCCGTTTTGGCCATTTCTAGGGTCTATATTTGGTTGAACAGTTTGGTCATTTTTCGCACGATCGTCTCAAAAATAGTGTGCGATCGAACAGAAGCGATGGACGATTAAAATGAGACAATAAAATTGACTTTTCGTAAATACTGACGGGGCGGGACCAGGCCTCAAAGTTCGAGCACTTGCCAAAAAAATTCAAATTGCTATAGATTCATAAATGAAAGAATTACAGTTAAAGAAATGTTCTAAGGACAATCGTCGTTGCCCTCCGAAGACAAATGAATGGTCGATTGATGATGTCACATAAGCCCCGCCCCCTCAGGACTTAAAAGGTCAAGATTTACTGGGAAATTTTCCAAAATTCGCCCTTTCCAATAATCACCCCAAATTTGTAGCGGGTAACTGAAGACAAGTTGGGGTTGCTTGGCGTCACTTTATGGGAGTTTTCTCCAGAAGGCGGGGCTGTGGCGGCGCGGCGAAGTCAGGCGTACCGCTTAGGCCTTACGTTTGCCTCCCATTTCGTCATTTCTAGAGATATCGCCACAAAACCTCTTGGGAGTGATCCTAGTTCAGCCCCCCACAAAATGTGATGTGAACATCCGGTAGACGTGGCCTATTTTCTGAAATAGCGCCCCCTAGGACCATTAAAACTGTCAGCCCCAAGTCATGCTTTGACTGAGGATTATGAAATTTGGCACACTAATGTGGTGTCTCAGGACCTACAAAAAAGTCTCTTGGAGCCAAGTGCAAAGTCGCACAGGAAGTCGGCCATTTTGGTCCAAGTACTCGATTTAGTGGTTTTCGCACACGTTGTTTGGAGAGTGATGCTCCATCGCCCTTTTCACCAATCGCCTTCAAACTTCTGCTATAGACTCTTAAGACATAAAGGAAAAAATTCAACCGTCGGATTTTAAATAAGTATAAAGGTGTGGGCGTGGCTAAGCCTCAAACTTTGACCTGTCACCACGCCACTCTTTTTTTCACAGCTACCTATTGGACTCCTTTTACCCAATCGCCAGCAATCTCTGGCGAATAGCAGCTGACAAGTTGAGGTCACTTAGTCTCCAGTACTGGCAGGTTTTGAAAAAAGGCGGGGCTTTGGGAGCATGGCAAAATTCACCATCACGCCATGGCAATACGTTTGCCTCTCATTTCTTCAATTATCGTGCCATCGCCACAAAATGTCTGGTGAGTGATCCTAGTCTGACCCCCAATAGATTTGGACAGCTGTAGTTTGTGGGCGTGGCCTATTTTCTGAAATGGCGCCCTCTAGGACCATTAAAACTGTCAGCCCCTAGCCATGCTTTGACTGAGGAGTACGAAATCTGGTACACTAATGTGGTGTCTCCGGTCCTACAAAAAAGTCTCTTGGAGCCAAGCGCAATGTTGCACAGGAGGTCGGCCATTTTGGTCCAAGTACTCGATTTAGTGGTTTTCGCACACGTTATTAGGAGAATGATGTCTCGTCGCCCTTTCCACCGATCACCTTCAAACTCTTGCTATATACTCTTAAGACATAGAGGAAAAGATTCAACCGTCGGATTTTAAATAAGTATAAAGGTGTGGGCGTGGCTAAGCCTCAAACTTTGACCAGTCGCCATTACGTTACTTGACTCAATAACTCCCTTGTGCATGATCAGATCAATTTCAAACTTTGTCCGTGTGATCACTGACCACATCTGAAGACAGTGACAATGTGGACAGCTGGCATCACCTAAGCCCCGCCCCCTGACTACAGGAAGTCTTCTGTTTTATGGTGAAATGCCCATATTTGTCCCCTCTAATTTAGTCAACATGACACTAAGGTCATGCACTGTCTTCATGATGTTGTAATGACTATTCAGATCTGATAGCTTTTCAGAAAGGGAGGAGCTTTGATGCCATGGCGATTTCTGGCGTGACGCTGTGACCTTACGTTTGACTGTAACTTCCACAAACAGCCTCTGATTTGCCAGAGACTGAACATCACATCACCAGTGTGGTAAAGATAGAGTATCTCCTAGTGGTGAGACGTGTAATGCTGGGCTCAGAGGGGATGCTGAATCAGGGTGAGGTGTGGACGAGCAGGCCGTTCACGGTTTCTGGTGTCGGGGTGGTTGACTTTCTGTTCTGCCAGACGTGCCCTGGTGCCCCCGGCTGCCGGCCAGGATGGACAAGCGCGGAGCTGGGTTTGGAGAGCGTCGGGGATGGAGCGGAGGGGGTGCTTCGCTGCGAGGGCCGAACGACGCTGCTTGCAGCTTTAATTAGGCCCGAGCAGTGAAGCTGCGAAGGCCTATTGTATCTGCTCCGTTTATTATTTTTTTTTTTTCTTTTTTTTTTTTCTTTTTCTTCCGCGTCTTTGGATGGCCTTTAGGGGGTCTTAGCATATCCAAAAAGTCACCAAATTCTGGCCCAATATAGAAAGTGCGTGAAATTTACGTATTTCACTGGCAACGTGAAAGTTGGTAAAAAAATGTTTCAACGGCGCCCCCTGGAAAATTAAAAATACCCCTCCGCTTTGACCTTTTTTCATAGTAGAGTGATGAAATTTGGTACACTTGTAGAACTCAACAATACGCACAGAAAAGCCTCTTGCACCCATGGTCAATATCAAACAGGAAGTCCGCCATTTTGGACTAAAGTGGCCATTTTGACCCCGTTTTGGCCATTTCTAGGGTCTATATTTGGTTGAACAGTTTGGTCATTTTTCGCACGATCGTCTCAAAAATAGTGTGCGATCGAACAGAAGCGATGGACGATTAAAATGAGACAATAAAATTGACTTTTTGTAAATAATGAAGGGGCGGGACCAGGCCTCAAAGTTCGAGCACTCGCCAAAAAAATTCAAATTGCTATAGATTCATAAATGAAAGAATTACAGTTAAAGAAATGTTCTATGGACAATCGTCGTCACCCTCCGAAGACAAATGAATGGTCGATTGATGATGTCACATAAGCCCCGCCCCCTCAGGACTTAAAAGGTCAAGTTTTACTGGGAAATTTTCCAAAATTCGCCCTTTCCAATAATCACCCCAAATTTGTAGCGGGTAACTGAATACAAGTTGGGGTTGCTTGACGTCACTTTATGGGAGTTTTCTCCAGAAGGCGGGGCTGTGGCGGCGCGGCGAAGTCAGGCGTACCGCTTAGGCCTTACGTTTGCCTCCCATTTCGTCATTTCTAGAGATATCGCCACGAAACTTCTTGTGAGTGATTCTAGTCTGGCCCCCCAAAAGATCTGATGTGAAATTCTGGTGGGCGTGGTCTATTTTCTGAAATAGCGCCCTCTAGGACCATTAAAACTGACAGCCCCAAGCCATGCTTTGACTGAGGATTATGAAATTTGGTACAGTAATGTGTTGTCTCAGGACCTACAAAAAAGTCTCTTGGAGCCAAGTGCAAAGTCGCACAGGAAGTCGGCCATTTTGGTCCAAGTGCGAAATTTAGTGGTTTTCACACACGTTGTTTGGAGAGTGATGCTCCGTCGCCCTTTTCACCAATCGCCCTCAAACTTCTGCTATTTACTCTTAAGACATAGAGGAAAAAATTCAACCGTCGGATTTTAAATAAGTATAAAGGTGTGGGCGTGGCTAAGCCTCAAACTTTGACCTGTCGCCACGCCACTCTTATTTTCACAGCTCCCTATTGGCCTCCTTTTAACCAATCACCAGCAATCACTGGCTAATAGCAGCAGACAAGTTGAGGTCACTTGGTCTATAGTACTGGCAGGTTTCGAATAAAGGCGGGGCTTTGGGAGCATGGCGAAATTCGCCATCACGACATGGAAATACGTTTGTCTCTCATTTCTTCAGTCATTGTGACATCGCCACACAATTTCTGATGAGTGATCCTACTCTGACCCCTAATAGAACTGGACAGCTGAAGTTTGTGGGCGTGGCCTATTTTCTGAAATAGCGCCCCCTAGGACCATTAAAACTGTCAGCCCCAAGCCATGCTTTGACTGAGGATCACGAAATTTGGCACACCAATGTAGTGTCTCAGGACCTACAAAAAAGTCTCTCGGAGCCAAGCGCAATGTCGCACAGGAGGTCGGCCATTTTGGTCCAAGTACGCGATTTTGTGGTTTTCGCACACGTTATTAG